TGAGCTATAGGCGCCGAGCCAAGACTCTGACTCTTAAAAAAAAAAAAGTAGCCAGGCATTGTAGTGGGGCGAGCAATAAGTTGCTCAACCCCAGGATGATTATGTAATAAAAAAAAAAAAGAACAAAATAAAAGAAAATACATACTCTTTGTAGTTTTGAGTAAATTGGAAACACTGTTAGTATATTCCTTTGGTGTGCTAGGAAAAGTCAAGATTTTTTTTTTTTTCAAATCCCAACACCATTTATTAGCTGTGTGACTTCAAACAAGTTAATCTAATTTATACACATAAAATGAGTTTAGGAAAAGTCTTGCATACATAAAGCACCTGGAAAGTGTTAGGTACTATTATTATTCCTGAAAATAACATTAGTCAAATAACAGTCCCTATACAGGGGAGGCTTTTATGGGAAAACGTTTCCTTTCGGGGAAATACAATTTTCCACAAAGTAGATAACTAATTGAGCCTAGTTTTTATTGTGCAACTCAGGATTTCTACTTAAGATTACTGACATGAAAACGCATGTACATCAATCTCTTCTCAGGTTGGTGCTTAATTCTACTTTTCTGGGGAGAATTATGAGGAAATGATCCACTAAGGGAGGCAGTGAGTTAGAGGCCCCTCCTTGGAAGAGATGCTTCAAGTAGTTTCTTTCTCAAGATACTAGGAATTCCTGAGTGGTGGGTAGAAGAGAGGAAAAGCATGTTTCCATGCTGGAAACAGAGAGGAAAAGTCAAGATTTAAAGCAAGTCTTGTGGCTGGACTGATTCCTGGCTCTGCTACTTACTAAGTAGTGGGACTTTGGGCAAGTGGGTTAATGGGAGCTTCAATTTCCTCATTCGTAAACACCCCGCCAATACTTGTCATATGCTTGGCAAATATAAGGAACTGAGGGTGCTAACTAGCAGACTTTATTATTTATTTATTTAGAGACAGAGTCTCACTTTGTCACCCTGGGTAGAGTGCTGTCGCATCACAGCTCACAGCAACCTCCAGCTCTTGGGCTTAGGCGATTCTCTTGTCTCAGCCTCCTGAGGCGCCCGCCACAACTCTCGGCTATCTTTGTTGTTGTTGTTGTTGCAGTTTGGCCGGGGCCGGGTTTGAACCCACCACCCTCGGTATATGGGGCCGGCGCCCTGTAACTGGCAGACTTTAAATACCTGAACTGCACTCTGCATTCATACAAGACATCAAAGTGAGTAGGCGTCAGGGGCAAGAAATGAGAACCCAGTTCTCTGATTCAAGTCCAGTCACGCTAGGAAATCTCTCAGACACCACAGAACATTCCTTTTGCTGGAAGCGGATCTAGTATTTCCAAGAAGCCCCAAAGTGCGACTCAGCAGGAAGGAGGGATTTCCGACGCACAGCAGTAGCGTCAGCAGGACGCAGAAGCAGAACCGGAACTGGTGGCGGGAGCGCCGGGCGCCCGCGGGAGGTGTCCGGAAGCCCTGCGGAGTGGGCGGACTACATTTCCCACAAGGCCGCGGGGCAGGGCGAGGGGCGGGCGCCGGGACCTTACCGGACAGGCCTTGCCTGGCAAAACCAAGGTAAATGCCGGCACTGCGGCTGCGAGGGAAGAGTAACTTATGCTCTGCGTCTAGCTTTGTAGTAGTAACCCGCCTAACCCATCCCGAGCTGACACAAACGACTCTCCCAAGATTTCCAGGCCGCAGGACTCCACCGTCACAACCTGTATCATCTTCCCTTCCCCCTACCCCACCATGGGGCTGGGCCGCTTCCCAAATGCCTAAGGACTCGGGGGTTGCGCTAGTGAGGTGAAGGCCCGGGGCAGCGCTTTCTAGGGGGATGACGATCCGTAATAGTTCCTCGTTGGCCCCTCCCCCACGCTCCTTCTTTTATCAAATCGGCTGGAAGTGGGCTGTGCCCAGCACTCTGGGGCTCGGGGGAAGGGGTGCTGGAGGGGAAAGTACCCTCCCTCCCGGTCCGGTAGTGGCCGGCGACCTCCCGATCTCCTTTGGTTGCTGCTTGGACGTCCTTGGCTTGGAGCCGCTAAAGCTGTCAAAAGACCTGCGGGCCACGGACTGCTAAGCACCTCCATCCGACACCCTTAATCCTTTCTTTCACCCTTTGGACTGGTAGAGCGATCGCCACTCTAAAGCAGAGGATTAGTGACTTGCCCTAGGTCGCAGAATATAAATGGCAGAACCGAAGGTTCGCGCTAAGCCTGTCCTGATCTACAGCCCTTTGCTTAAGCCCATTTGCTTTCCTCCAACCTTAACGTAAGAGAGGCCAAGCCCTGGGGACCGCGGAGTCATTTTCTTGCCCGGCTGTGCTTACGACCCAGGCGCAGTACCCAACCCCGCATCCCCGACGCGCTTGGGACATAGCGAGCTGGCCTCGGGTTTCCCCGGTTTGCACAAAAGGCAGCACAGGGTCCTTCCCGGACTGATGGTCCCTTGGACAGTCGTCTCTCCTCTTTCCCCCTTTCCGAGGCCCTTCCTTGGGGACCGAAGGCCAGACGCATCAACGCAGTGGCCGCCGGGCTGTGGGTGGGGTTTGCTGCTCGGCGGCGGCGGTGGCGGTAGCTAGTGGGTCCTCGGGTGGCTCTGGGGCGGGGCTGCGGGGAGGGCGCCGACTGACAGACGGACTCCGCGGGAATGGGGGGTGTGGCTGCCCAGCCAGGGTCCTCCGGGTGGGAGAGCGGCTCCGCGGCCACCGGCGGCCGGACCCGCTTTGCCTTCTGCTAGAGATGCTTTTCCTCTCGGTGAGTTGTTTTCCTGTCCTTGCGGGCCGGGTTCTCGGCCTTAGTCACGCCCAGGGGAGGAGGAAGAAGCTGGGCCACCTAGATCTGTGTGGCCTGGATGGGGCAGGGCAAAGGGGAACTGACCAGCTACGCTGCTGGGCCTCCCCTCCTTTTGGGGCTTGTTGATCCGCGGCTGCGCTGCGTGTTCCAGTTTCATGCAGGCTCCTGGGAAAGCTGGTGCTGCTGCTGCCTGATTCCCGCCGACAGACCTTGGGACCGGGGCCGGCGCTGGCAGCTGGAGATGGCGGACACGAGATCCGTGCACGAAACCAGGTTTCAGGCGGCCGTGAAGGTGATCCAGAGTTTGCCGAAAAATGGTAAGTGCACCCGGGCCCCCGCTGAAGGAACCTTCTGCAGAGGCCTGAAGCCCCAGTGTCTAAATCTTCCCTTCCTTTACCTTTTTTCTAGTTCCAGTCTTGCTTATTTAGCCTACTTTTTTCTGTGTTCAAAAGGGATGTAGGGGAAGGGGGGACGTTGAATGTGAATTAATTGCCTTCTAATCTTTTAAGCCAGGGAAAATATATTATCCAGATTTTAAGTAGTTTATATTGTTGAAAACATATCACTTAATAACTTGGGTATTTGGGTATTTTTTTTTTAAAACTGGGGTAGGGATGCCTAGTGCTGCATACTCGTAAATTCTACCATTTAAGCTTTTTCAAAACTTTTAATGTGGAGGGAAAGAGAACACCTATTTTTTTTGCTATTCCATTGTGTAATGTTCTCTTTTTTATACTAATATCGGACTTAGTAGCTAGGGAGGAAAGTCATTCGAGTTCTCTTGTATTTAATGTGTCATTTCTGTGGCTACTTTCTTTTTTTTTTTTTTTTTTTTT